TTTAAACGGCGGGCAAAATCGATTGTCCATACGATTGCGCTATCCGAAATTACGTATGTAAATGACGATGCACAACACAAAGAACGCCGGCAGTTAAAGCTAGCCGGGTATATTTTTAATTTGTTAAAAGCCCTGAAAAATAACAATCTGAATGCATTCATTGCAAGCGCAAATTGCTGAGCAGAAGCCGCGCCTCTTATAATTAAAATTGCATTAAGCCAGCAATAGGCGGACGGTAATGATACTAATGCACTGTTTGCAAAGAAAAAATGCGGCTGACTGACGGTATGTAATCCAATTTGCTTGATAAATGCCGTAACTACGCCGTGGACTGACACGTACACCTTACTTGTTTTGCTTGATGTTTTGGGTTAGGTTATTGCGCTTTCCGGTGACATTGTTTTGACGACCTCCGTGGCCGAGTGGTTTGTACGCCGGGTTTCATGGTGTCGCCGACTCGAGAGGTCCCGGGTTCGAATCCCGGTGGGGCAGATGTTTGTGTGATGAATACGAGCATTTGTACTCCTGTCATGGATGTTTAATATGTATTTCTATATAAATATACTTATATATGTACAGTATATGTATTGTATCCGTTACCTTAGCATCCCATAACACAAGCCTTACAGTGCTTACTTTGGGGCTAGGCTAATTGGTGTGAGTGTCGGAAATATTAATTATATTATTATTATTATATTGTGGATTATATCACTAGCTGTGCTTCGCGGTGTTACCAGCAGTTTAAATATAAATAAATAAATATTTCCAACACTCACACCTATTAGCCTAGTCCCAAAGTAAGCACTGTAGGCTTGTGCTATGAGATACTAGGGTAACGGATAGAATACATAAACTGATACATATATATTAGTATATTTATATAGAAATACATATTGAACAGCCATAACTGTTGTACAAATGCTCGTATTCATCACACAAACATCTGCCCCCACCGGGATTCGAACCCGGGACCTCTCGAGATGGCCACTCCTTGAAACCCGGCGTATAAACCACTCGGCCACGGAGGTCGTCAAAAGGGTTAAAAAAGTTTATTAGGGATATTTTCCCGCAGTAAAACGTAGCCTATGTGTTTATCCAGGGTGTCAGCTAATTCTTAACCATTTTTTTTAAATCGCTCTAGCCGTTTAGACGTGAAGAAGTAACAAACATACACACTCACATACTCACAAACTTTCGCTCATATAATATTAGTGTAATTTTGAAAATCTTAAGATGAAAAAGACATCATCAGCCAGCATCACCAGCAATTTTAGTATTCCATCCAGATCCCTCTTTCCCAGTGGGCACCTTGGGCAAGTGCCCAGGGCCCCGCGATTGATAGGGGCCTCAGATCAAATACAAAGACCCTATTTCTAGTCAGATCACCAAACGATAACCAATATTTTTTACCAAAAAACTTATAAAATTCGAAGAAATCGAACCTAAGTTACTGACTACAATACCAACTTACTAGATTTTACATGCGCGAAGCTATTCTACTCTCGCCCAAAAATTAGGATTCCCGACTTCAGAATACTTAGATAAATCTTTATATATATAATTCTTCTATGAGTGTGTATGTCACTGAACTTCTCTTAAACGACTGCACCGATATTGATGAAATTTTTTGTGTGTGTTCATGGGGATCTGAGAATGGTTTAGATTCACTATTTTGTCCGCTGGACAATGTTTTTTTAATTAAATTTTTTTATGGCGGTACGAAGTTCGCTGGGTCAGCTAGTTTAAATATATAATGGTATACTAAGTTATTTTAAAGAAAAAATCATCAGTACCTACACACTCATCAGTGTGACTCGCTCCATTTCAAGGCATAATCCGCATCATAGTCATAGGACCCCATTATCCTAATATGCCCAGGGCTTCCAATAGGTTCCCCGGCTAGGCCTGGAGGAGGCTGTTAGGTGCGGAGACGCGGAAGAATCCCTAAACGGGGATCCCGCGGCTTCGCGCTAAGAAGCTTAGAGGGTATTCGCAGGACTTTTTAGCGGATATTATGCCGTAAAGCGCCTGTAAGAGTTGCGGGGTCCTCGGTGGACAGCCACTGGGGGGGTCCGTAAGACTTGCGGGCACCAGGTGTGAGGTCCGTTCGGTGCTGTGCCGCCGGCGCCGTCCTCTGTAAATAGCATTTTTTACCTGCGTTATAAAAAAGGGCTTCCAATAGGTTATAGACGGCCCTGATTCCATCACTACTTGGACACAAGCCTTCTCTATGGATGAAATTGGAGGAAGGATGATCCAGAGCCCCACCACGCGGTCCCAGTACGGATTGGTAGGTGCTAATGATTATATATGCTGCTAAAAAGAAAACTTTAATGTGCACTATGAAGCACTTTCTATTTGGTCACCCATCCTATGATAATGGCCGTTGCGAAAGATGTTTAAGTTCGATGGCCGAAGACGCAATGCGTAAGCCCCTGCGCCATCGTGATCTTCCAAGAAGAAACAACACGTTGACCGTCCATATTTATATGTATTATTTTTACATTTTTATATCGAAAATAAGCAGTGCTTTTCTAATCTCTCGTATAATCCTTACTAAATCAGATATTAATCTCGCTAGGGTTAGAAGTTGAGATAAATAACATTACTAGCGATCGCGCGCGACTTCGCTCGCGTACAAAGAAATTTGGTGACTCATTTCTTTGTCGCACTATCCGTAAATGGAATGCTCTGCCTGCACACGTGTTCCCTCCTTCTTACAACCTGGGATCTTTTAAAAGAGGCGTGAAGAAGCAATATGCAGGCCGGCAAGGTGAGGATGGCTGGTGTGGCCGGTAGATCTGCTGTACCTATCTCCTGCTGCTATCTTCACGTCTGGACTTCACCATCACTTAACATCAGGTGGGGTGGAGTTATTTGTCGGACCTATCTATATAAAAAAAACTTTAGTTTTTTGGGAACCCCTCAGGAACCTAAGAGGTTTTCAGAATAAAATGTTTCAATCCAGGTAATATACTATCTGTGTGCCAAATTTCATTCATTTCACGTTCAACCATTTTAGCGTTATTGAGTAACAAACATAAAAACTTTTACATTTATAAAATAAGTATGATTTATGGAGTCGTGTTGGTAGCCAGATCTCAGATAATAAGGATCGAACCGGCAAGGTGAGGATGAGGTACCTGAAGTGGCACATTTCTCTGCAGCATCAATAATTAATCTTTGTAATTTTCGATATTGCATTGCCTACCTTAAATCCACCACCTATCTTACAGTTTTCATTTAACCTCATTCCAAAATTAGTGTGTAAGACCTTCTTCTGAAACGATTATTACTTAGGTGGCGAAACAAAAAAAATAATTCCTCAGCAAAATTTAAGCAAAAATTATGCTATAACTTAAAGCTCTCTTTGAATTCGAAAAGCGTAATTATTAATTTAAAAATCCCTTAATGTGTACGAAATCAAATCAGTATAATTGTGGCATCTGATTACGAAATAGCACAATGATCAATAGCTTCATTCTTTACATTTCACTCCATTACCCCGAGGTCCTATTCAATATTTTGCAAACCCATAAATTCGAGCATACTGTCGGGGCGGAACAATGAATCTAAATAACCATTAATATGTAATAAATACTATGGGGTAATAAAACCGTGTCGCATAGGGAACAAACAAACAAGTGCGAGGCAACCCTTAACCGTTGGCCATTGTCGAGAGAGACCCGGGCGTGAAATGCGAGGGGTCGCTTCGGAGGCCGAAGTCACAGCCGAATTTTGCCGAAGCGGCCCGATTGGTTCCGCTCCGAATGCCAACAGCTGCTGCGTTTCAGATATAGGGGTCGCTCTTCATTAGAACAACTTGTCTCGGCCAGAGATGGATGTTTGTTTTTGGACAGCGTGAGTCTTCGCTGATGGCTACTTGATGATGTATGAACTTTATTATCGGAATGACTATATCTTTTTCGGGTCCATTTGTTTTTGGAAAATTTGAATAGGTTACTATTGGTAAGCAAATAGAAAGAAATTTCGATAGTTTTTAAAGTTAAAAAAAAAGACAGTGGTGATCACGGCGTACAGTAAACGAAATTCTATTAAGTCCGTCAGTTAGATGGTCAAAAAATAATGGACACGTATTTTTTCTTTGGGCAATCAACCAAAAAATGCCAGAGTTATAGCGCGTCAAAGTTTGGGAGTAGGGGCTCGTGACGTCACTTTTAAGTGAAAATTGTACCAAAACGTGACGTCATGCGACTTTTCAAATCAAAGTTTATATTATGTGAAAAAAGAAAAAATACATGCCCAATACTTTTTGATAATCTACCTGATAAACGAAAAAAAAATAGTCATCATCCCTAATTTTTTTTAATATTATAAAATCATTATTTCTTTTGTTGTTTGCATTACAAATAGTATTTTGTCATATAAAAAACGATACAAAAGGAACCTTTGTTTTAAAATTATACTTGTGTTATTTATCATGAAGACAAATTTGAAGGTGTATGAAGAAAAACAACATTAATACATTCAAAAAAGTGTTGTTATCCAAAAAAGTATTCAACCCAATAATAAAATGACTGTAATCAATAAGAGAAAATAATCATTCAAAACAAATACTCATTCATTTTATGCGTATTGTTACGTATTATCATATTTTCGCCCCAACTTCATACCGTATAATAACGCACTGGCTCATGATGCTACAATAAACCGAACAATGAGTAGTTTTGTTTAGTCGCGCCCGCGGATTAGTGAATTGTAAAAAAGGTTGGGGTCTCCCCGACCCGACGTGTTAATTACGGGGGTTGGCCGAGGGCTGAACAGATGAAAGTCAATTTGCTGCTGCGACATGATACGGCTCATTTCATCGGGAGCGACAAGTGAGGCACCTGCGCTTTTTCACTCGCCCGGGGGCGTTACGATACCCTTTGTGCAGTTTGTCATACAATAGAACCACACTTGTGTGTGCCAGCGCGAGATAAAAATAAACAATGCACTTTATACTAATGTTTACTCACTCGCATCTATTTCTCTTGCAGACGAAATCAAATTCGGCATCAACCGTTTGGTCGGGGACAAGACGAACGACGAAGAAGACGAACCGCACCACAATGAAATCACGAGGACTGAAAATGTATCTCCTGGATCGCGATGCGAAAGTCCTTGCTGGGCGCCATCGCCACAATCTCCGAGATCAGTGCGCTCCACCTCGCCCGAACTCGAAGTGGATTCACCTCCGTCGTCGCCTAGAAGACCACCTGACTCCTCATCACCCCCAAAGAGATCGGAAGCGTTTTCCATGAGCGTCCTCCTCAGGCCAGACGCTCCGCGTGTGCAACCACAAAGACCTTACTTATACAATCCACTGCCTTTCGCGGAATTCCTGAGGGATAACTCGAGTAGTTTAAGTTTGCCTGGATGGGGTGGATATAGCAACTTGTACCTTCACGCTATGGCTACGCCTGAGCTCCTCAGGTTGCGAGCAGCAGTGCTTGGTGCTCAAGGTCCATTGTCGAGGCCCTTGCCGATTGGAGACGTATACTCTTGTGTTAAGTGTGAGAAAATGTTCAGTACACCTCATGGACTGGAAGTGCATGCCCGGAGATCACATAATGGAAAACGGCCGTTTGCTTGTGAACTGTGCAGTAAGACATTCGGACACGAAATCAGTCTCAGCCAACACAGGTCAGTTGTAGTTGAACATATTATAAAATTATGTCCTTAATCTTTCTTGTTCAGTAATGTTCTAGTAAGACAAATTTATATTGCTATGCCGCACATAAAGTGTCCGAAAAGTATCATCTTATTTAAACATCACAGAAGTTCAAAGTCAGTTGAATAAAATTGACAGTTTTGATTAACTTGACATGTGGCTGACTGTACATACTACGATAGTACGAGTAATCTAATGGATAAATATTTTTAAATACTTCTGCTTAACTAGATCCCTAGTGTTTGCCTTTGAGATTGTCCTGTAATACCAATTCATTCTTGGGTTCAGTAGAACCCTTCGTAAGATTGTCCGAACCCAGAACTTCTTGCAGTAACTCAACCCCACATGTCAACATTATTAGTGTCTCTCGCAAGATAGATGATACTTCCGGGTGGAGGGCTAATCAAATCGAGCGTGTTGATTGTACTGGAAACCACACAGGTTAAGACATCCAAAACTATCTAATATATCTTGCAGATATTGAGCTTTGCCTTACTTTATAAAAAAATCACGGCAAAATTTACGAAAATTAAAAGCTTGGTGGCGTAAGTGGTAAGCGCGTTCGGTCTGAAACAGTGAAATTATTATCTCAAGCAATGCATTTTAAGCCGTTGGTCCCGGCTATATCTGCAGTCGTTAGTACACACCAATCAGCACTAGGCCACGTGTTGGATCATGGTCCAGCATTCCAGTTCCATCCGTAGGCTTGTGCCCCAGTTATGGAGTCATTAGTGATGATGACGATACAATATGCTATCGAAATTCACATTTTTGTCAGTGTTTTTCTTACGTAAGACCCTCTATCAGGGCGGTGCACAGCGTCGAAAAGGTGTTCGAGTGCAAGCAGTGCGGGAAGACGTTCAAACGCTCCAGCACATTGTCCACACACCTGCTCATCCACTCGGACACTAGGCCGTACCCCTGCCAGTACTGCGGCAAGAGGTTCCATCAGAAGTCGGACATGAAGAAGCACACTTACATTCACACCGGTGAGTTTTACTATTTTACTAACATTGTTGCATCAATCAAGTTTGTGGTAATTGAATCTGTTAGCAGCAAATCTATATCTAAAGAGTTTTAATAACATGATTTAAACCGAAGAAACGATTCGCTTCTAGCTAGCGTTGCGTGGGTATCGTGTATTGATGTATAACATGTGGATTTTTATAAAATTAAAACCTTGGTCTGATTAGTCAACACAATAAACCGGTATTATCATTAGGTAATAATAACAAATAAAAAAAAAGGTAGGAACTATGGTTGTACCTGAGCTGGAAGAAAAAAAAACTAAATCTCAATCTATTAGCTCAAATCTTGTATAAACGACAAATAAACTTTATGAAGTTCTGTTAAATAAAATAATTCCAAACATACTTGTCATCATATTTCAAAGACTTATCGTCATAAAAAAAGCTGATTCAAAATTCATATCTTCTTATAATGCGAAAATAAATTCAATGTGTTTTCGCGTAACACAATAGAGTGTGTCTATAGCAAGGACAAAACACTTTAGCAACAATAACTTACGGCCGGAATTACCCAAAGTGGGGATTCTGTCACAGCTCCTTAAGGTCCCCCTCATAATTAATGTGCATTAACACCTAAGACGAGAAGTTGTTTTATAATAATCGGGTAATGGGTGGCGAGGATGCGCCGAGCGCGTTTGCGGTTACGTTATAGGGGACGATTGGGTTACGAATACACACAGCTTTCAAGAACGCAGAACGAATTCAGAGTAATAATCCTATTTATGATGCTGCGTTTCCACTTAAGCTGGCTATACTGTTGCCAGCTTAAGTTTTGACAGCTCCGTAAGGTATCGCATCGTCAAAGTTTCTATGTAAACTAAGCAGCGCCGCTATCGGGCGGATGAAGAACAAACTAGCTTTTTCCATACAAAATTTGACGATTACGGTACTTTACGGAGATGTCAAAAACTCGTGATTGGGCCTCTGGACGAGCAAGCAGTTGTACGCTCTGTAAATAGAAATATCAGAGCGAGCGAACTAATTCGCACAACGATGTTTGACTGGACTGAGGGAACAAATGCTGTCTTCCTCAGTCATCAATGGAAAAAATGCAACATTTTTTGAACATTCTACTTACCGAGTGAACATATGCTTGCACACTCGGAACTGTTCTGATCATTAGGTGGAAACGCAACATTTTATACCATACCTTAATGTGAAGGTTTGTGTGTTATTCACTGAGGAGAGGTGGTTTTTATATCTGCATTAGGGCATAATTTTAATCCATAATAAATATGAAACTTAAATTCTGTAGGATCATCAGTTAAACGAATGAAACGAACAAATTAGTTAAATACTAATTAAACTTTAAATTGTAAATAGTGATTGACTTTGAATGTTTGCTTTACAAGTAACTAATATTGCACTGATTTATATATAATAATAATAAAGCCTTTTTATTTCATGCAGAGAAAGAAAATGAACAAAATAAATAAACTTAATCTAAACATTTTTTTTATTGTTTGTTTGTTTTTAACTCTAAATATCTGCAAGAACCCCTCCACGGGTGAAGGCCTCCTCCAAAGTAGTCCATATTTTCCTATCTTGCGCTATTTTTATCCATCTCGGTCAAAGAGGTTTTGCTAATATCATCCTCCCATCATGTAACAGGTCTTCCCCTATAGTGATTCCCTTTCTCTGTTGTTGTTAAAATATAAACATTTTGTTTCAAAAATTTGGCATATAAACAAAATGCTAGGTTCTTGTATCAAAACTACTGATGATCATTCATAAGACTAGAATCACGACTAAACTCAAAATCAAGAAGAAAAAGGTTAGCTATTTTTCAGGAATATTAAACAAAACCAAGAAAGAAGACGTAATAGTCTTGCTCTTAACAGTCAATGTGAAAGTTGTTTCTAAGATAAGTGGTCTATCTTCATTATCTTCTACAATCGGAAAATAAATAATCAGATAATGCAGCATGAATTCAAACATTTCAAAATTTTCTACAATATTATGTGTTTGCTTATAAATCATTCATCATCGTATTTTTTTAAAAGTTCTAAATAAAGATTTCCTTATCCCTATCAAAGTTCCTACCTTCTTAAAAAAATTGTAGGTACAAAAAAGCTTTTCAGTTGTTGTAATTTCGCGATATAATTGTGCACCATTACTTGTGACCGTGGGTAGACCAAGGCCCTTCATGAATATAAGATGCTGCGGTCTGTATGGCGCTGTCTCACTAACACTTAACTCGCTGGATAAGATTCGTCCGGACCGTATTCTGCTTAACCCTCAAGTGCTATCATGATTTCATGAGCTGTTGTCATTTATAGGCACAAGTGTCTTTTGAGTTCGCCATGTTATTCCAAGAAGGTCATAACGGATTTCTGATTATTCTTAATAGTACCTGAGAATGCAAAGTTTATTCGATTCAGTTTGTTCGCAATTCAAATAACCTCTATTGCTTTTGATTAATCCGCTCATTTATATATATATATAGTGTGTACTAAATTGTTACGTATTTCACACTCTGAAAGTGATATAAATTAAATTTAAAAGTGAATGATTTAAAACAAAATTGACAACCCTCATAAAAAAAAATTAACATCTTGAGGAATATTACAGATACAAATTTTGGAAAACTCCTTTACCTTCACTAATAATATTTTTTTTATTTGTAAATTGTGATAAACTAATGTATATGTGTCTGAAAATCGATACAGATTACTATCAGCATACGCGTCTTTACTTTTCCCTACAAGTTCCACCATTCCCGATTTCCATCTTCATCAAGTACCTACTCAACAACTCCCCAGTTCATTTAAGACTGGGAGGGCGGGAGCGCCCACGTCTGAGATTCAGACGCATAGATTCACCGTTTTCATTGCATTGACAATGCGTGCGAAAGAGACAGAGGAGATTATTCAAAGTGGTTGAAAAGAGATGGCGAATTGAAGGGTCGAGTTAGTTATTGGGCACATGCTTCTGTTTCTATATAGCGAGTGTAGTTTCTATACGTTTAGACGCTGATGGATACATTTTTCTGAATTGGTTGCCTTGCGTTATTTTGCACGGATCTCTTTCCGTTCTGATGTATAGTTTAGGCTCAGATATTTATTATCTTTGATTTTCAGATTTACGTATCTGTATTATGTTTTCATAATTATTTTTAAGTAGGTAATAGCAATCACAAAATAGCAATAATTCTTCAGTGAATATGTTACTTTAAAATGATGATTCTGATTTATACAAGCATCTTCTGTGTCATTGTGTAGTAATGAAATACTTATGTTACTTATAGGTACCTGAACAAATAAAAGGTTAATTGTAGATAAGCTCAACGTCATTTAACAACCAGACACTTAATCCACATCAAGTTAAATGCACAACGTACCCCTCCAACCCCTACGTGTAAATTAACAATATCAACTTCGCGAATAGTTGCACGAACGGCATTTTAATCAGTGTCCCAACTTCTTGATTAATGTGCCCCAAACAATTTATCGTCGAAATTTTATTTATAATTACCGCCGCGAAATTAAATGGCCGACAATTAGTCAACGTCAAGAAGGAGGACCGCGGCCCGCGATTTGTCACCTCGCAGAACCTGTTTAATTCGACGCTAATTGAGCCCGGAAGTTTGTAACCCCCGAACTTAAACTACCTGCTGTTAGTACGGCAATTTTCAAGTCAACAGTTACAGAACTGTGAGATAATTAATATAAGTTCCCTTTGAATAATTCATTCGCTTTAAAACGATTAAATGAATTATTGAGATAGGAATAAAATAGTTAACTGAAATAATCGTAGCCCCATAATTGCTCATTGTAGAACCCCAAAAAAGTTGAAAAAGAAAGAGCTTTCTGACATGCCTAATTTAATTTACTTAACATGAAAATAATAATTATGGTGATGAGCTAGACAACGCTATCTCATCTTATTTCATGAATGTTTGATTTACCACGCGCTTTGGATAGCATTTTTTAAAACATCTTCCTTCTCTTAATTAGTTGGGGAATAAACAAGTGGCACATTAGCTTTTGGAATAATTACACGACTGCTATTTCAGCCTCTTTCTTTTTTATTTTTGCATTACTTATTTTCCCGTTTCGGTATGCGGTGAAGAATTAAAAAAAACAATTTTAAAATTGCTTTGAATCAATTATGAAGTGTAGTATCAAGCTAGCTTACACAATTTTCTACTTCTAAATGAGTTTCAGATAGCGGAATGCAAAAAAATGTGGAGCATTTTCAGCATGCCAAATGCGTTTCAGTTTTGGCCCCTTTGATTATTTTTAAAGCCTTCTTCCTACTTACGAATAGCAAAGGACATCTTGGAAGTAGTTAAGAGCGACTTTCTGCTGCATAATTGGATTTGTAAAGGCGCTTTCCGGAAGAGAATGTTGGTAATATGCTAATGACATCGTGTGAAGTGATCCTTGATTTTTTTTTGTACCAGACTATATTGACCATAGAAGAGTAGAGGATAGCAATGCTTTTAAAAGCATTAGTAAATTTAAGGCAATTTTAGATTTATAACATATTCATTTTGAATATTAAAATAATCAGTAGGTATTTATAAATTTGTGGAAAAAAAATAATAGAAAAAAAATTGAGGAATTTCTACTCGGTCGAGCCTGAAAAATGGTCCGATTGTTTTTTTTTTCTGGTAAAAAAATTCCCTGATACTTAAAAACTGATGTGCGAAAATCATAATAACTTTGTTGTTGAAGGTCAATATATGTGTATATATAATAATATAATATTTTGCACATATTCTGAACTCAAAACCTTAAAGTCGTGAAGCGCTGCTGAAGGCCAATGCTTTTCCAATGAAAGTATTAATAATAGAAATATCAGGATAATTTTCCCTACCGATTATAAATTTAAATGTATTAATATTTACGATATGTTCCAGAAATACTTACATTATGGCGTAATAGAGGAGGAAAATTATAAATAATAATCTTTTAATAACGGAAACTAACTTTCTATGTTAATGGATTCGATTTAAT